TTTTCTACTTCTTTTGTCAAGTTTGCTAACTGGTAACATTTTTAAAAAATTTTTAATTATTTCCTTAGATTTGTTCTTTTTTTTTTTGGTACCGGGGATCGAACTTGGGTCCTTGAGCTTGCGCAGCAGGCGGCGAAACCACTGAGCTAAATCCCTGGCCCCTTAGATTTGTTCTTGATCCATAGATTTTTTAATACTTAATTTCAAGAGATTGTCTATTGTTATTGATTTTTATTTTAATCTTGTTGTGATCAACAAATATAATTTCATTATTTCAATATAATCATAATACAACCATCAAAACTAGAAAGATAACCTCGATACTGTTACTGTACTATTGAAAACAAAGGCCCAATTTCCATTTGTCCCAATAATTATTTACAATCTAAGTATATAGTTAAGAAATAATCAATAATATTTTTCTTCATTGATGATACTAAAAAGCATACAAGAAATAAATGATTTAAATAGTACATAAACTTTTTCTGATAAAGAAACAGTGATTCCTAGCTCATTTCAGTAAACAAGCATAATCCTGATAAGTATACTAGAATGAGATATTCTGAGGTGAAAGTATTGACTATTATGTCTCCTAAATGTATCACTGGTACATTTAACTGAAACATTGATACAGTACTTTGAAGAAATAATTTGTAGATAGAGAGTTTACTCTTTGAAGGAACTTTCAGAAAAGCTTCATAAAGCTTAGTGCATATCTTGATAAAAATAAATCCGTATTTAGGTTCAGATGAGAAGAGAACACAAAATCAATTAGTGTGTAAAAGTGCTTGGATTAGTGGGTTGTTTTCCGTCTGGGAATCCTACCCATATCCCTTGCAAACAGTAATATATTTGGTTTCATGAAATTATTATTCAATTGAAATGGAGGTCAAAAACATAAAGTAAACATTTTTGTGTGCTCATTGTAATATCTGGGCCAGTGAGACTGTTTGCTTTTTTTCTTTCTGAATGGTAAGAAATGTCTGTAAAGCTTACTTTCCAGCACTGGAGCTTTTAATTGACCTAAATTGATTTAAAAAAACAAAAATGACCAAAAAGCTACATAATTGTTGAACACATCTTAGAAAGATTAAGGTGTTCAAGAAACAACGTTTAAGCTAAATTTGGAGAAAATATTTTAAAATATATTTTAGTTTGTATTGTCTGACAAACCAATTGCTTACCTCTGGAATTGGCTTTTCTCAGTTTTGCCTTAGCCACTTGGAAACTGAATGTGGAAGCCGTATTGATTTTACTGCTTCTACTTTTTAACTTTAAAAATGTTTTCCTTTCTTTTCTTATTCTGTGGATGCTCAAGTTGCTCTGAGTCTCTGTTTTTCCTATATACTCATTCTCTCTGGGAGTTTATCTACTTACATTCTGGTGGTTTACTTAAAGAAAGTACTTAGAATCATAGCACAGAAAAGAGCCTTGCAAAAATGATCCAATGTCATCTCTACCTGCCTTCTATGTATATAAAATGTAATTTGGTGTGGCGATACATGGGTTTCTCATTCATTGTTACACCACTGCAAAGATCTCTGATCTCTGTATGTATTGATGAATTAAACATAATCTGTGCCTACTTCCAAGGCATCATTTAATAAGCCTGGAATTCCATTTTTTAGTTGCATTTTTCTAGTTTTGAATTGAAAGATGATGTTTTCCTGTCTGAACATCATGAAAATCTGGCTATGGAACAAATGTTAGTCTAAGAAAATCATAGTGCTGAAAAAGGGCATTTTATCACCTTCCATGACACTTGAAGTAATTTTATCCACAAGTGTTATTTATACTGTAAGTCAATCAAAGTGGCAGTGAGTCACTGCTCATTATGGAGCAGTTACAGATTTCTGTTGTTTTTCTCTTAATTGTATATTTTGAGGCATATAATTATCACTTGTAGTTTCAAAATTAATCTTAAATATTTCACTTTCAGGTTTATTTTTTCTCTTCTGCAAATTAAAGGATTGGATCAAATACCACCACCACAAAGTTACAAAATAGGCACATAATAACTGAAAAAAATTCATACTTTGTAAATAAATATTTAGTTATTATAAATTATCTTTGTACTAATAGCAATTTTCCACTTTGAACTTTCTGATAAGATTCTTCTTCAGTCCCATACATAGACAACTTGCTTTATGTTGTTCAGTGTCTTTGGTTCTATGGAGCTCATACCCTAAGGCTGGAATTAATTTTTCTAACACATATGGCTTCATCTTATAGCTTCATCATTGGATAAGAAGTTTAGATATCAGGAAAGCAGGCTACCTAACTTATAACTAAACATTTCTACAATGTAAATGGGTTAAACCTGCTGTGAAAATAAAAATGTTACTGGGAACCATTTACTTCTCTCAGTGAAGGTAGTATTTAGCCACAAGGACTGCACGGCAAATGCAGGAACTCAGTATTTGTTAATTTATTAGAGTAATTGAAAAGAAATGTAATTATGTAAGAGTGGTACATTGCTTATAACTGGCAATAAATATACTTAAATTGAAAAGAAAAAACCTATTGCATTGTTGTTAATTGACTTTCCTAAAAATCATTCTGCAAATCTAGCCATAACTAGTGTAATTATGTGATATGTATTGGCTACGATTTATAGCAAGTCAGAAATAAATGGCAAACGATTAAAGCAACTCATCTCAGAGGTCATCGGTCTCAGTTAAATTGTAAAATCTTCTCTAAGTCACATGACTTACTTCTAATTACAATACCTAATCGTTGACTAGGAAGAAGAATTACTTTTCTGTAATGTGTAGGTCTGGAAACTTAATTTCAAATACTGAAACTATTTTTAACAAATCTTATTCATTTTGCTTTTTAAAAAATATGTATAATACATAATGAAAACAACCCTCCCAAACTAGATAAATATTGTCTGGTTTTGAAAAGGTAGATAATTTTTTCCATTGCAAAGGATAAACAGAAGTATTATTTTAAATCTGTATAAGTGTTTGCAAAATACCAAAACTTTTCCATTGAGGTTTGGTAGGTTGGAGATTCTGCCACACAGGGAAATGCCAAGAGAGCTAGACAGGGACACACAGGTTGAAAAGATATTCAGAGGGGTGAGATCAGAAGTTGGGGTTGAAAGTGCAGCCTGGCAGGTCAATCATTACTTTTGAATTGAGTGATAAATACTAGGACAGAAAGGAAAACTAGAAAAATTTTAGAAAGATGAACTGAACAAAAATGACCAAAATCATGCTGCAATAGCAGATAAACTTTCAGATTGACTTTTCTACAAGTTAAAACTTATTTTTCTGGTTTATCTCATTTGTTTTTTCTTTATAAATTCTCTGGGAAAGATATGACAAATTTTCTTCTTGAAATTCTTTTCTTCTTGCTTGCCTTGTGAACACTTTACACCCATTCCTCAAACAAATATTTGCCAAATCAAAAACCGAGCTCTATGTTTTTTTTTGTTGTTGTGGTGATGAGGGGAGTAAAACAAACTATGTGAAAATGTTTTCCATACCAAACAGAAAAACACAGGGGTATGAATTGTCCTACTCTTGCAAATTTCATTAAATGAAGTTAAAAAATCTTACTAAAGAAAAGACTAAAAGAAAAAATCCAAAATGTTGTTTTGGGCAATAAAGTGGATTGACTTATAGATCATTATGTCGAGCTAAGCCAGGCTCAGAAAGACAAATATCCCATGGGCTCCCTAATATGTAGAGTCTAAAAATAAACCATGTCCGGAAAGTAGAAGAGAGACTATTATTCTACAAGAGGAATGGAGTAGAGGGGGAGAGAGACAGTGTGTAAGAGTGGATAGTAAGGGGATGGATATGATCAAAACACATTATACTTGAAACTCCCCTACATAATGTGAAACTAAGGGGAGGTTGGAGGAGGGAGCACTGCAGGGGATGATTACAGTATCTTATGAGCATGTACAAATCTACCAAAGTTGCATCCATTAGTTGTCTACTCAACATGTATTAATAAAAAATGTGGGGGAAATAAAAGGAATAAGAAAGCCTAAATCACCATCAGACATGACACTGTTGTAGGTAAATTTCAATTGTATCATTTAGTAAACAATTGAAAGGCTAATCAATGCTACACATTTTGATAAAATTTAAAAAATATTATCTGTACCATTGAAATACTGTTTGTTTGTTTCTTTGTATTAGTTAGGGAAAAAACAAGGATTACACACAAGAGCAATGACAAAATCCATAGGAAAGTCTATATGGTATAGTCTCTGAGAATAGAGTTAAAGTTGACTGATATTGGAGCCAACTTTCAATAATCTAAAATAATATTGTTAAGGGAGGAAAGAAGGAAGTATACACAATTTTTACTAAACTTCTTGTACAAGTTAAATCTGGATAATTTTGTAACATATATTATGTCCATTAATCTTAAAAAAACTTAATAACTATACTATGAATTCTAATGTGTGCTGAAAACTTTTCATAATGAATACTTAATTTACATTTTCCAACTCTGCATTCAATGCTTTCACTTTGATATCTTTATGTAAGACATCATTGTGGGAATATTCACAACTTAGAAATCAGTAAAAGCTACAAATCAGGTCTTTCCTACTTCTCTGAGAGCAAAGTTGTTGAATATTTAATAGCAACTATCAATAAGCATTCAGTAGAATTATATACTATTTAGTCTCTAAGTTAATTCTAATCCTACAATTCTACGGTGAATTTAGAACAAATTAGGAAATATTTTGTAAAATTTACTTCCTTATATTAGGTGTATGATTCAGACATTTTTTAATATCTTCAGCACATACACTGGAATTTCTAATTAAGATATTTTTATGTATATTATTAATTTGCACACTGAAAAGGTTTTGTGTTTTTTATAAGGGGCTATATTTCTGCATTTCATAATAAAGGAGCTTTTATGATTAAAATATTGGAATATTACAAATTATTAAGATTGATCTAAAGCTAAGATTTCTTTATGATAGCCTTGGACAATAACTGACCATTTTCTATGTTGGTATTTTGCAGTGAGGCCTACAGTAATAGAAACTGATATTTATGTAAACAGCATTGGACCAGTTGATCCCATAAACATGGTGAGTAAGGAATGATACAAATCCAGAGATCTTGATGATATGCCTTCATGATACAGTGAACACAGGAGTAATTTCTGATAGATCATTCTAAATGAATTTTTAGGTCACTATGATGTGTAATACTCTATATTAGGTATTGGCAATAAGAACTGAAATATCATTTATTTAATAACTGAATTGGTAGCCTGCTATTCTCGTGTAGTGTATTTGATAGGACTATGCTGAGGCATAAATATCACTTGCTCCATCAAAAATGGGTGGCTGAAGAAATCTAGAAAAAAAGGATATTGATAGGCCTAGGGGAAAACAGTGGGTCTGAGATGGAAAGGGACATATTGGCAGAAAAGGCAGCATGCCCAGAGACATAGAGAAATCAAACTTCCTGAAAAGATCCAGGGAAATTTGATGTTAAGAAAATGTAAAGTGCAAGATGAGGAACTGAGGATGAAAGAATTTTTAAGAGCCTTATTTAGGATGGTCTTGCAAGGTATTATAAAGGGAAACAAGTATTGTGTGCTGTATGGATTATGTCTCTTTGGATAACAGAAATGATCAGAAACTTTTCATAAGAGGAATATACGCATTTGCAGGATGTCACTTTTCACAAGATGGATGTAAGGGGCCAAGACTAGGATAAGAGAGACCATTAAGAGGTTTCATTAGTGTGGGCAATAGATCTCCAAGGTTTTACCTAGTATAGTATTTTTGAGCTGGAGACAATCGGGTTGTCATTTTACTATCGTAGGTAAAATGAAAATTGAGCCAGAGAAGACAATAGCACATTTAAGAAATATCAATGAATTTTTCAGAATTTGGTAACTAACTAATTATATACAGGCTGACTCCAAGGTAAAGAGTGAAGAAACCTTATAGATAGTGTCAGGTAAAAGGGCCGAAGACCAAGACCAGACCAGGCCACAACAAGCCTTTATTAGGGGAATGGATCTGCCGGGCTGTCTCTGAACAAAGGAGAGACAAAAGCAATATGGCTGGGGCAGGGAGAGTCTTTTATAGAGACTGGGGTGGGGCTTGTAGGGGCTGAGGCGGGGTTGAGTGAGGTAGTGACTAGGGAATGGAGGAGCCGGTGATGTCACTAGGTGGTAGGAGGTGAGCGAGTATTAGGTTACTCTCTAGGTGGGAACAGGGGCATGCTGGGAAGAAGGGTTTGTTCTTTGGTGGGAGCAACCATCTTGGCATGATGTCACACAGGGGAGGGGGCAAGGCACCATAGGAAGAGGGCAACTACTATACATAATAGCTGCTGAGGTGGTGGGAGACCTATCAGATAGTTGAGCCGTTATTTAAGATATGGAATATAGATGTATGTGTCCTAGATATAGTGGACCCTCAAGTTACAACCAGCATGACATATGAACAAGTTGGGTTAATTAGGTTAATGGGAGATTTATCTGCCTCTTGTTATTTATAGCTTGTACCCAGGTGAACATCCAGATCTCAGCTGTATTGATTTAGTTACAGCCAAACCTTGGGAGCAGATTGAGTTCATAAGTCAAGGGTTCACTGTACTGTTATGGTTTGGATCAAGAATGTCCCCTAGATGGCTCATGTACTCACAAGTGGTGCTTTAGAGGGTGACTGGATCACAAGGGCAGTGTATTCATCAGGGAATTAATCCATGGATGTGTTCAGAGATAAATGTGCTGTTAGGTCCTATGGCCTGGTTGGAGCGGAGACTCTGGGGCATGACCTGGAAAGGTCTATCTCCCTTCTGGGCTCCCTGTTTCTCTCTCTGCTTCCTGATCACCACAGTGTGAGTATCTTTGCTCCTTCCAGATCCTTCCACCATGCCAATATGGTGTGTAAGCCTGGCAGACACTGGCCAAAATAAACCTCTCCTTCAAGTTGCAGGCATCAGGTATTTTGTCCCAGTGACAAGAAAAATGACTAAGAAAGATACTAAGGGCACATTCAGGAGGCACTGGCCGGAGCAATTTGTCTTATATGCCTGCTGTTGAAGGAAGTATTGGGACTGAATATATAGCACAGGAAGGAAAAGAGGCAAGAAGTCTGTAATGTAGTTAAAACTTCAAGAATCTCTGAGATGACCCAAGGGAACATTCAGGTTAAGAAGAGTACAGATATGAGGACCAGATGGTATATAAAATACAGGTGGAAGAAACAGAGGTGCAGAATAGAGGCATAGTCAGGAAAGTCAGACTGGTGGGAGAAACACCAGGAGGAGACATTTTATAATCTTAAGGATTAAAGAGGATGAAGAAGGGGGGAATAATTATGAATTGCAAATATACATAGAATTCAGTAAGAAATAGGCTAGTGCTGGGGATTTAGCTCAGTGGTTCTGGTGCCTGCCTTGCAAGTGCAAAGTCCTAAGTTTGATCCCCAGTACCAAAAAAAAAAAAAAAGAAAGAAAGAAAAAGAAAAAGAGATAGGCTAAATTGGGCCCACTGGCAGTAGCAATTAGAAAGTGTTGGTTTTCTCTGTTAGGTGAATTTGGTGGAATGGTAAATGTAGGAATGGACCATCATCCATCATCAAAATTGTTCCTATGTCCCCACTTCTTCCCTCAGAGCCCCAAATACATGCATGGATCATGTCAATCAGATACTGGTTTGAGGGTGCTGGGAGAAAGTAGGATTGCAGATTTAATTCCTGAACCACTAATTTCAGAAACTTTGTGTAGAAGAGGAAGAGGATGAAGGTAAGAGTATAAGGATAAACAAAATATAGTTAAACAGGAAGAGTAAGTTCTAGCATTCTATAACAGCAGGATAGCTGTAATTCACAGCTTATTATATATTTCATAAAGAATTTGAAGAGGAGATGCATAAGCTAAGTAGCCTGATTTGATTTTTTTCAAATTGTGCACATGTATTAAATAAGAGCAATGCAACCCATGAATATGAACAATTATTATGTGTCACATCAATTAAAAAAAATAAAATAGCATGTGGATAGCAAAGATAGAGAAAATAAGAGAAGAGAGATTATTAGAAAATATCAAGGGAGGTCCATTTAGGATAGAAAATGATGAAGTGTGGCATTTGTGCCTTATCTTTTATACATGGTGTTTTATTACTATTTGAAGGACAGTAATTAATGACAGTAGCATAACCAGAACGCATTATTAAAAAATAGATTATAATGTTCTGCTCCAAACCTTAACAATCCTGTTTCTGTGAGTCAAACTATTAGGGCTCATTTAATGAGCTCAATATTGTGTTATTCAATTAATCTCCTGTGATTTCATCATTGATGTTATTACTCAGCTCTGGTTGCCATAACAAAGTACCAGTGACTGTGAGGCTTAAGAAGTGGATATATATTTTTCACAATTATGGAGACAAGAAGTCCAAAAGCAAAATGCTGGCTGGTTTGGTTTGTTCCTGGGCCTCTCTTGCTGGGTTGCAAATGGTCATCACCTCACTGCCTTCTCACATTCTCTTTCCTTTGTTCTAACTCATTCCTGGCATTGCTTTACCTATCTATATTTTCTCTTCTCCTCACAAGGCAGATTAGATTAGGATATTCCATAAAGGCCTCATTTAAAAGTAATCATTGCTTTAAAAGCCCTGTCTTCAAATACAGTCATATTCTGAGGCATTAGAGCTTCAACATAGGAAGTTTGGTAGTAACACAATTCATCCCCTAAGATATTGAAGGGAATTCTCTACAACTTGCTGATCTTCTTACTTAATTTATTCAGTATTACAAGAGTCAAATCATTTCTTTATTATAGATTTTTATCACTTTCTACATGAAGACTCATTATAATATGCCAATTGCCTGTGTCTGCTTACTCCTATTACAGCCACATTCTGTTTTTCTCTTCCTCAATAGGCTCTTTCTGTGACCAACATTAACTTTCACAGTGTCTGCCCTGATTGCTATAGTGACAGCATTTTGGCTGTACCATAACTGATGTCTTTTTCACCATAGGGAAATGAATATTACCAGCTATGGATAAATTGGTTTTTGAGAGGATGGTGGGATGTCTGCATAGACTGAGCTAGCAGTTGGTCTTAAATAAGAGACTAACACTCAAGGGAGAGTCAGAGCTGAAGTCAAATCTTTCTCAGGAATGTGCAAAATCTCTCCAAGATTGGCCAGAAAAGGGAAGGAAGCTTAATGTAAGAGAGAAGAAAAAAAATGCTATCAGACCTTAGTAACACATATTTAAGGTTCAAAAACAAAGCTAATAAAATAGCAAGATTAGCCAGAAAATAAAGAAAAAACAGTGCCAACAGAAACAAAGAGAAGAAAAAGTTGCAATGAATGTTTTAACATCAGCTCTGCCTAAAACAAATTTCTATTCAACCAGTTGAGTTTTTGAAAGAGAATTTTTTTTTTCTTTTTCATTCTTTCTTTTTTAAAATTTTCTAGTACCGTGGATAGAACTCAGGACCTTATGCTTGTGAAGTAGGCACAGTGCCACTGAGCTAAATCCCCAATACCAAGAAAACATTTTATATACCTGTGGGTGATAATGTTGAATATTTAACACTAAGAAACTATAAAATTTCCTAAGGTAGTACATTACTAAAATGTTAATTTTTATCTTTAGAATAATATGGTATTGTTCAGTTTTTTAGGTGACCAATGCTTAGAGAAAGTAAGCCAATTTGAATATACAGAAAACTCTGCATTTTCCTAAATTGCTTTATTGGGGGGGTGTTGTTTTCAATTCTTCTGTATTTGTAAAATATAAAATGTCATCATTAAAATAAAGAGAAATAGGAATAGGATTCACAGCTGTAATAGTATCCCGGAAACACATTGGCATGAATGGCCACCGGGAGGCTTCAACAATGATCTTCTATAAAAGATTCATGGTAATAAAGATTTAGTTTTCTCACTAGGATGAATTGCACACTTGTAACCTTGGTCAGTGATAGTTCTGCAAATGGTAATTAAGTGAAATTGCTATTGAAACTAGTAATACTAAAACTTATGGGGGGGGAACCTCTGGAACAATTGATAGTGTTTATTAAAGAACTGCATTGTCAAACCAGGGATCAATA